CTGTTTTTGTTGCCTCAATTTTAGTCTTTAAGATTACATTTCTCAATAGTCATTTCTCTGAATAGTGTTCAATACAGTTCAGATGAGAAAATATAACAGTTGTTGATACAAACTTATTTTGATTGACCACTGAAATATATGAGATTAATGAGCGATAGCTAGTGCGCGACAAGTACATTCCAATCTTTTTTGCCCTCAGTTTGGCTTCTCAGGCTACATACAGGCTGCCCTACTTATTGGTGAATGGTGTCGGGACTGTAAGAAAAGAAAATCCTGCACTTAGTTGCAAACTAGCATCCGCTTAAACAACATGATAAAGCAAAACAAAAGCTGCTTCTGTATATTGTATCTTTTGAATCAACCATAAATGGCCACAATATCTCTAGCGAATGGGACATATAGTTCATGAAAGGAAGTCACAAGCTGTTTCAACCGGACAACAATAGGGTCAACCTTCCTTTGTGTCATTGTTGCTTTCGTCACGTCTCTTTCAAGCGCTCATCACACTCACATGATTCCTTTAGCTAGAGCCTGATATAATACGGTATGTCTCCATGTTATGACTATTAAGAAAAGTCTTTTAGCATTTTGATAGCATCTCCACATGTTGTAGAGCAATAACGCTGCAGGTAAGGACCCTGGTAAAATTGCCTCTCTTATGCTACTTTCTTTTTCCTATCCGCGCCCTGGTGGCCTGTTGTGTATCCAATTAATATGTGCATTTAAGATATTGTGCTGTCAATACTGATGCTGACCCTACAGCAAATCTGTTCTGCTTCACATAAGATAATTGATGGCTAAATGATGCACTGCGTGCTAATAGAACCGTCCTTAGGGCAGCAGAGCGGAAATGGTGGAAATCCAAACACCGTGACGACCTCCTAACCTATCAAGCTCTCCTCTCCTCTTTCTCTGCTTCGATCTCTCAGGCAAAAAGCACTTTCTTTCAAGATAAGATCCAATCTTCCTATTCCAATCCTAAAAAACTATTTTCCATCTTCTCCACCCTCTTGGACCCTCCAAAAGCTCCTCCCCCCTCCTCACTTCTGTCAAGCGACTTTGTTACCCACTTTGAAAAAAAAGGTTAATGATATTCGCTCTTCTTTTTCTGACTCACCTTTACTCACCGCTGGGTCACCAGACCTTCCTTCCACCAACACACTAACCTCCTTTTCCCCTCTCTCTCCAAGTGAGGTTCTTACCCTCATTACCTCTGCCCGCCCTACCACCTGTCCTCTAGACCCTATCCCTTCAAACCTCCTTCAGACTATCGCCCCTGATATTCTACCGTTTCTCACCCATTTCATCAACACTTCTCTAACTTCTGGTCACTTTCCAAACAGTCTCAAGGAGGCAAGAGTAAACCCTCTCCTAAAGAAACCCACTCTCAACCCGTCTGATGTTATAAACTACAGGCCTGTCTCTCTCCTCCCGTTCCTGTCTAAATCACTTGAACGCGCTGTCTTTAAACAACTCTCCTGCTATCTCCATCAGAACAACCTTCTGGATCCGCACCAGTCTGGTTTCAAGGCAGGTCACTCCACAGAAACTGCTCTCATTGCTGTCACGGAGGAACTGCACACTGCCAAAACTGCATCCCTCTCCTCTGTCATCATCCTGTTGGACCTGTCTGCTGCATTCAACACGGTGAATCATCAGATCCTCCTTCGCATTCTCCAAAAACTTGGAGTTTCAGGCTCTGCACTTTCCCTCCTCACCTCATACCTGAAAGACCGTACCTACAGGGTGACTTGGAGAGGGTCTGAGTCCGACCCTTGTCAATTAACTACGGGGGTCCCTCAGGGCTCTGTTCTTGGTCCCCTCCTCTTCTCCTTGTACACAAACTCGCTCGGATCAGTCCTTAGCCCGCATGGTTTTTCTTACCACTGCTACGCTGACGACACCCAATTAATTCTGTCCTTTCCCCGCTCAGAGACCCAGGTCGTCGCACGCATCTCTGCTTGTCTAGCTGACATCTCTCAGTGGATGTCTGCTCACCACCTCAAGCTCAACCTTGACAAGACTGAGCTGCTCTTCCTCCCGGGAAAAGATTGTCCAACTCTTGACCTGACAATCAACATCGGCACCTCAGTTGTTTCCCCGACTCAGACTGCAAGGAATCTGGGTGTGACCCTAGATAACAACCTGTCCTTCACTGCAAACATCGCTGCTACAACCCGCTGCTGCAGATACACGCTTTACAACATCAGGAAGATACGTCCCCAGCTGACTCAGAAAGCGACTCAGGTTCTGGTCCAGGCTCTCGTCATCTCACGCCTAGACTACTGCAACTCCCTCCTGGCTGGTCTACCTGCATGTGCCATCCGACCTCTGCAGCTCATCCAGAATGCAGCGGCTCGTCTGGTTTTCAACCTTCCTAAATTCTCCCACACCACTCCGCTCCTCCGCTCCCTCACTGGCTTCCGGTAACTGCTAGAATCCACTTCAAGACACTGGTACTTGCTTACCGTGCTGCGAATGGATCTGGCCCTTCCTACATCCAGGACATGGTTAAACCGTACACCCCAGCGCGTGCACTACGCTCTGCATCAGCCAAACGACTCGTTGCGCCCTCGCTGCGAGGGGGACCCAAGTTCCCATCGGCGAAAACACGTGGGTTTGCTATCCTGGCTCCAGGATGGTGGAATGAGCTCCCCATTGACATCAGGACGGCAGATAGCTTGCACATCTTCCGGCGCAAACTGAAAACTCATCTCTTTCGACTCCACTTCGAGCGTTAGAACAATTAACGAAGCACTTTTATACTAATAAAGGACTGGATTACCTAAATCCAGTTGAGTAGCACTTGAAATGTTTGCTCTATGAAACCTGATATACTTATATGATTCTGTTTTCTTCAAGGTTGTGTCTTCCTGGTCGAATGTACTTATTGTAAGTCGCTTTGGACAAAAGCGTCAGCTAAATGCAATGTAATGTAATGTAATGTAATTGTAATCTTTTGAGGCGTGAAAATATACTTTTGGAATAGATTCTGAAGCCTTCATTCGAAATGAAATAAATAAGATAAAAGGTTTGAACGGCTTAAAGAAATACATCATATTACAGACATGAAGTAGTTTCTTTATATTGAGCTGGATAGATACACATATTTTGTATCACTTTTCATTTCAAATGAAAGGGGAAACTCCCAGCGTTTTCAAGTAGATTCAATGAACTGCATCTCTTTGTTTCCTCAAAGCAACAGCACGGCATTTTTTGTTACATCTAATCGAGGCTATTTTGTTGAGAAGCCCCTTGGCAAAACGCTCTCTGATAGGGAGTCATGCAGTGTGTTTGTAATGATCAATGGTACGTATTTATATAGCACTTAACCAGTCCTCAGAACGCTTTACAGAAAGTATCTTGCCCAAGGATACATTGACATGTTGACTGCATTGTTTGGGATCAAACCCAAAACCTTCTGATTTAAAGACGACCTCAAAGCCACAGTCGCCCAATCTGTCGAGGGCTTTTATTGTGAAAGGGAGGATGGGACCCAAAGGCAGATGGAATTGCATTGTTAATCAACCCATTTAGTCCCATAGAGAGGCGAAGGTGTGTGTATCTACAGAAGGTCCAGTTGTGATAGACACGGTTCGCCACTGTTCTAGTTGCGTATTTTTCATTGTCTTAAATTTCAACAGTTTTACGACAAACTGACTTTTTTGACAAACATCATATGTGTAATTCGTGGCACAATTCAAATGGGATCGAAAGATACGTTTTCTCTCCTCTTGACTTCAATACATAATTTTTCCGAAATAAGGTCCCATGGGTCGGAAGTAGATGGGCGGGACTTCGCCACTCTATTGATCACAATAGTGACCGTAACACATATTTTCACTTATAAGGCTCTATAAATGTTACTGATGTATACACTGAACAAAAATATAAATGCAACACTTTTGTTTTTGCTCCCATTTTTCATGAGATGAACTCAAAGATCTAAAACATTTTCTAAATACACAAAATAACCATTTCTCTCAAATATTGTTCCCAAATCTGAAAACAAATCTGTGCCTTCGGCTGGCCACAATAAAAGGCCACTCTGAAATGTTCACTTTTATCACACAGCACAATGCTACAGATGTCGCAAGTTTTGAGGGAGCGTGCAATTGGCATGCTGACAGCAGGAATGTCCACCAGAGCTGTTGCCCGTGAATTGAATGTTCATTTCTCTACCATAAGCCGTCTCCAAAGGCGTTTCAGAGAATGCCAATGGCACGCTCCCTCAAAACTTGCGACATCTGTGGCATTGTGCTGTGTGATAAAACTGAACATTTCAGAGTGGCCTTTTATTGTGGCCAGCCTAAGGCACACCTGTGCAATAATCATGCTGTCTAATCAGCATCTTGATATGCCACACCTGTGAGGTGGGATGGATTATCTCGGCAAAGGAGAAGTGCTCACTATCACAGATTTTTTCAGATTTGTGAACAATATTTGAGAGAAATGGTTATTTTGTGTATATAGAAAATGTTTTAGATCTTTGAGTTCATCATGGGAGCAAAAACAAAAGTGTTGAGTTTATATTTTTGTTCAGTGTATATCAATGTATTTCCAGAAAATATTGGATAAATAAAGGGTCTCAATGAAATATATGCAATGTCACATGTTCAGTGTAAATTGTCACATGACTGGAGCTGTTCACTTCCTGGTTGCACCAAGAGAATGGCTGCCTCAAAGCTCCCAGATAAAGGGCTAGTAAAGAATGTTAACGTAAAGATAGTACAATGATTTTTGGTGAACATAATCTTTAAGGTATCTAGTATTGATAAATGCATTTGCAATAACTTAACTTTTTTCAATGTGGAAACTGGAAACAGAAAGAGTAAACATGTCGACGGCAACAATAGTGACCGGCGGGATAACACAAGGCTTATAGGGAACCATTCTAAATGGCGGCTATTCTACAGTCATTACATTGTACAATAAACATTTACTTAATTATGCCAATGGAAACTCAAGACAGGCTGTTTCAGTTTTGTCCCTCTCCTCAGACAGACTATCACGGAGGATGGGACTCTACGTATCACCAACATCTCCAAATCTGACGGAGGCAGGTACACATGCTTGGCCAAAAACCACTTTGGAACATCCAGCAGCACAGGAACGCTGGTCGTAAAAGGTATTTCTTTTTTTTCTTTCCTTCACAGGTTTTCACTGCTGTGCCTTTTTAAAGCCTAGGGTTTAAACTTTTGTTAAGGGAAAATAAATTCTAACTCGAGCATGAAATTGATAATGAAATATATAACCGTTTTATGTTCCTGCGGGTTTGACAGACGTATAAGTCATCCGTGGTTTTGTCAGCTGTGAGTTATTGTTCATGTAGCTGAGTGAGGCAAACCAACGCCGTCTGTAGCTGGGAGTGAGGAATATTTTGTCACTAACATTTAATTTAAAAAAGAGCTGCTGTCGCATTTTCAGATTTTGTGTTTTTAAATAATGATGATTATAGAGCGGGATTCCTCGACATTGTGATTGCAGTGTGTTTAATTATTCATCACTGAGTTATGGGAGGGATTGGCTTGCTAAGTGAAGTTATTTAAGGTCACTTAATTACATCGCTAGAGCAGAATCTGTCTGGCTAATCTGGACAAATTAAGCTTTATTACCTTCTTCATTTTAATGGATTGTATAGAGATACAGTTACAAATATTACTCTTTTTATCTTCCACTATGCTGCAGATCCAACAAAGATTATAGTCCCACCCTTGAGTTTGGATGCCAGCGTTGGACAGAGCCTCGTGCTGCCATGCGAGGTGTCCAGTGACTCGTCCCTGAGTCCCATCTTCAAGTGGTTTTTCAACGGGAAAGCAATAGATTTCAGCAGGCAGGAGCACTTTGAGATGATAGGAGGGGTATGTATTATATCAGTGCTATTTTTGTAAAAATTAAATCAGCGCCAACGACTTCACCTACATCGGGTTTTGTTAAAGCTAGAGCTGATATTGAAGGTTTTGAGAACTATGCTTTTGTGCCTGTCTATGATAGTATATGTTATTCATTTTCAAAAAATGTCTGTGTTCTTCTAAATCATCTATTTCCTCAACAAAACCTGGCACTGTAATAAGTTCACTTAGAATAAAACAAAACTGACTGTTTCAGACATTGGGAAAGATCTTGAAGGAATAGCTTTGGAGATTTGCTTTCTTGAGAAGATTACTTCCTCTCTCATGCCTGTGCTTTAAGTATTGGGTTTGGGCCAAACACTAGTTAGCCTAGCCTAGCATAATAATAATACATTTTATTTTTAGGCGCTTTTCATGACATCCAAGGACACCGTACAATTTGTTTAAAAAAATAAAACACTAATAGGCAACAGAACATGATAAAAACACAAACAGGAAATCATGGAGGAGACAGTCAAGTGGACACAAATGAAACATATAATGGGGAGCACTACAGTGAGTAGGCAGATTTGAACAGGTGGGTTTTTAATTGGGATTTGAATATGGTGATTGTGTCTGACTGTCGGATGTGCGGGGGGAGGGAGTTCCAGAGTCTGGGAGCAGTACTGCTAAAAGCCCAGCACCCATGGTGACGAGGCGTGGGCATGGATGTAGGGCGTGGGGTGGGGACGGTAAGCAGACCAGCTGAGGAGGAGCGGAGGGAGCGAGAGGGGGTGTACCCCTGAAGAAGGTCAGCCAGATAGGGGGGGGGGGGGGGGGGGGGGGGCAGGTTATGTAGGGATTTGTAAGTGAGCAGTAGGTTTTTGAAGTTGATACGGGAATGAACAGGGAGCCAGTGGAGTTGGATAAAGACTGAAACCAGGCAGAAATGGCTAACTTAGCTTTTGCTGTAGTTCAAAAATAATGCCTTGCAATAGGCCTACATGTAAAGCACAGGTTTTAACACTTTGTACTTGATCAGAACAAAAAGGCAGTTAGTGGCTAACTAACCATTAGGCTGGCAGGTGGATTTTAAGTAAGGTCACTTATTACCCTATTATATCACTTTAAAAAATATCCAGCTGTTTGACCCATTGTAACCTTACGTTGGACAGCTATAGGCTACTGTACATGTAAAACGTTTTCTTTAATAAGTATGCTATTCCAAGATAAGTTGCTGTTGGCTGTAGCTGAACATTTAGTGGACAGATGGAAACATAATTTAATAAGTGAGCTATCAGGTGCTGCAGGAACATTATCAAATTGCCTTCATTCTTTATGCTAAGCTAGGCTAACAGCCTGATAGCACTCGCTCCAGAATATTATCAATCGTTTCTTGTTTTTCTTGGCAACGTAGTAATATGTGTATTTCTCACAATGTCAAACTCCACCTGTAAGTATAGGTCAGACTGGATGAATGACAACATAAAGGCACCGAGGGAATGTGTTGTTTAAGGTCGGATTTTACTTTTAAGCCCATGTGTCAGAAACTGGCTACACTTAATTCACAGATGTCAGCTGATGTCACTGTATGTTGTGTCTGAGGGGGAAACCAAACAGGGATGACATTTCTCCTTCCCCGAGGTGATTTCACTCTAAGAGCAAATCAATCAATTTCTCCCCGAACAAAGGAGCCTAAATGTTTGTAATAACAAGATCTATGCTTCCTGTGATTCTGCACACCAGGCCCTCTGAAGTCGCAGCACAGCACTGACATTTCCACCGTGAACATTATCACAACAGCTGTTTAACTTGCCTTTGCTTTGAACACAAAGGGAGTGATTTCTGAATTACTGCATTTTGCTGGGAAAAAATCAAAACAGTGTGTGGGTGCACACGCACTGCTAAAAAGAAAGACATGTATCTGAGCTGTAAGGGTAAAACAAACACTGATCCTTAGGAGAAACATTTTTATGTCGCCTTCGTTACATTAAGAAGCTGAATTAATTGACTGTCACATCATCTTTTTTTCTGCTGGTGTTGAACTCCTCCTATGGGATTTACTGCGTATGACTAAGCAAGGATTTGTATGTGTGATTTTCCTGACTGTTTTTCTTCCTCTGCCAGACTCTAATACGAATGTTTTCTTTGCCTTTAGGGATTTGCAGGTGACCTGATGGTGAGGAACATTCAGCTAAAGCATTCTGGGAAGTACGTGTGTATGGTGCACACTGAAGTTGACACTGTCTCAGCAGCAGCAGACTTAATTGTCAGAGGTATGCCTCTTCCTCCTTTCTCACAGTGCTTGTCATTTTTTAGGACTCTGGAGGTTTTATATTCCTTTTTTTGTGGAGTGTGTTTTTTTTTTTTAACAGACATATGGCACTGCTGCCAGGTTAGAGCTGTATCATCAAGATGTCAGAGATTTGGAGAAAAACAGCTAAAACACACTTTCCGGTTGACAACATGAACATTTTGAAATGAATTATTCTGTTAAACGCATGGGTTCTAACTTAAAAACATTAATATCTGGACTGCATCGTTTTGGATATGCAATATTCTTTCTATGTTGACAGTCCCTAATAGGTATAATGCTCAAAACTATCCTAATGTACCTAGTACTTGTTAAACTGTGTTCCCTCAATCCACTGTGGTTGGCAGCCTGTTGTTACTGTTTTTATGCACTATTGCAATTTGAGCATGAAGAAGTGTGAAAGTGCTCAAAATAGGTGAAATATTACGAAGTAAGGCTGAAATACAAGAGTTGGTGGATCGATTCATCTCAAATGTGAAAGAAACTTCAACTGAAACTTTCCCTCCACTTCAGAGATGAGACATCAGATCATATCTGTATGGGAACGATAAGCAGACCTTCTTCAAATCCATGTGAAATAAAAAGAAATGCAATATTTTATTCAAGTCTTATCTGCAAGGTTCGGTTTGAATATCAGCAATGCACGGACATTCACTTTAAATCACATTTCCTTTGCATATTTTTTAGGAAATGGAAGTTTGCAATATTGTTTTCATCTTGCATGTTGATGATTATCTTCTCAGCAGGACTAGAGTTTTCTTACCCAGCAAGAAACATGTCCAATATATAATTTAAAAATGGATCATTAAGGATAGAATGTTTAAAGACGACATGTATAACGCTCATGTTCAGGTTCATATTTGATGTTGTGCCTCTTCTGTGACATGTTTCCTTACTTAATGTTCAAAAAGCTCTTTATTTGTCTCATACTGCGTTTCACCCTCTGTCTGAAACCAGAGCCCAGTCAGCTCTGATTGGTTAGCTGGCCGGCTACACACCACAGGAAAGGGAAAACCACGAAAAGCCTAATAGTGCCTCTTTTAATGTTGCTTACATTTAAATGGTTACTTTTGTCACAGCCAATTTTTTACAAAACAGTCATTGATGCCATTGATTGCAGCCTGTCATCCCCTTCTCAACATTGTCACTTACATAAAGGTACTGGTGGCCTGAATACATCTCAAAAATGCAAAAGATTTATAGAAAATAAATCACATGGTAGGACTTTGATTGAAAAAACATTATATGTTGATAGTCATGAAAGAGGGAGGTTGTGAGTGCCAAGACATCCTCCATATAAACAAGGACAACTGCTGTTTTCATTCACGAGGCGCCATGCTCTACAGAGTGCTCCAACAAAGCTCATGGAATATAAATTGGAGGGGAGTGCTGATGTCTGCTTATGTTCTCACTCATCCAGTCACACTTTTGGTCTGATCCTTCTTACTGTAAACAACAAATCACAGCCAGTCATCCACGATTGAAATTGATAACCAAATGGAGAGGAAAATAATACAGTTGCACTGGAAAAATAGTAGGCCGTCAGTAATGGCTACGCCTCTCTATTTAGACTGGTAGATCTCGGCAGACTGGCAACTTTAAAAGTAGCTCTCAGTTCAAAAAAGGTTGGGCACCCCTGCTCTACTGAGTGCTCCAAAAAAGCTCATGGAATATAAATTGGAGGGGAGTGGTGATGTCTGCTTATGTTCTCACTCATCCAGTCACTGTCACGGTGTGTGAAGCAGGTAGGACCCAAATGCAGATTAAAGTGAGAATTCCTTTATTTCAAGGCTAGGTGATAACAACGACAAAACAGAACACTCACCGACGAACTAGTCATGACAAAAGACGAACCGACAAAGACAGACAGAAAAACCAGAACTTAAATACACACAAGACTAATCACAGAAACAAGACACAGGGGAGGAGGGAGGAGAAAACACAGGGACACCAGGTGAACACAATCAGGTAAATTAGACACACCAGGGAAACTAACGACCGGGAACCACAGACAGATTTAAACAAGACACAACGCAGACAGAAACAGGCAAGACAGGAAGTGAAGACCTTTCAAAATAAAACATGAAACAAGACAAGACACCATAAAGACAGATCGTGACAGTCACACTTTTGGCCCGATCCTTCTTACTGTAAACAACAAATCACAGCCAGTCATCCACGATTTAAATTGATAACCAAATGGAGAGGAAAATAATACGGTTGCACTGGAAAAAAATGCTGCTCCAAAAACAAGTTGAAAAAATAATGAAAACAAGATGTTTTCACTTGAAATAAGTACAAAAATCTGCCAATAGAACTCATTTCGAACTATATTTGACTAGAATCAGGACATTCTGTGTTACAATATAAGCCGCAAAAGTGTTCTGTTTTCTGATGTGGTTGATTTTCTAATAAATACAAGTTTCACCCGAGATACAACTCAAAATAAGATTTGTTGACTCAAGATGATGCATTGTCTAAAAACAAGAGCCTATATCTCACTGCATTGTTACTTCTGAAGTTATTGTGTCTTATAGCAAGTGCAAAGACACATTCTGACTAGATATTAGACAAAGTACTTGGCAAGATTTCAAGTTTTTGTAATGTGTCTGGAATGTTCAGAAAGGCAAAGCATGACAGCAGGAGTTGGCAGCCCAGACTTTGCAGCTTTGACGTACGGATTGGATGTTACTGTGTGCATAATCTACAACCAAGCATTGTTGATACCCAGTGATCTCCTTCCAGCAGCAGGTAGTCCCGCTGAGGGCTCAGAGCGACTTCTGCAGATTTGTGGGCTTAGCAGGAAGTCTCATGTCAGTTACCAAAGTCCCTTCTGTTTGTTTGGTCTCATGTCGCTGCTTTCCCTAATTCCAATAAGATCCCAATTGAAAATCCTGGTCATTAATTACCTCTTGTGTTATTGTTGAATTCAAAGTGTAATTCTCTCCTCTTGGTTGGTTTGTTTGGTCAACCATGGCTCTATAAAGACTGCTGTTTGAGTGAAGTATTTTCAGCTTGAATTAGAATTCAGTTGAACTCAAAGTAAGAATGAGTAAGATGTTCCTTTTAAAAATGGTTTAAACTCACTGCTGTTCTCTGCGTGTATTTTCTGATATCTTTTTATTTCTAATCAGGACATTTGTGCAAACCTTTTTGAACAACAATGTGCCAAATTGTCCAAGAGGAATATAGCATGGTGAAAAGTCAAACTGTAACTCGTTCAAAAGTACGAGGTTGATTTTCACATGTTGCAAAGCACTCTAACCCTAAACTCGGTCATGAAGTGTGCATCTGTGGTTTCTTTGAGTTGTGGAGAATAACCAACTTTGCATGTGTAATTGACAAATCATTCTGCGTTTCAACTGAAGCCAAATCGGCTCTAAACCAGTGTTTCTCAAACTTTTTCATACCAAGGACCACTTAACCAATAAAAAAACACTCGCGGACCACCTAACTCCACAAATATCCAACATCGCATCGTTTTTCTAGAACAGATTACAAATCGCCTGAAAATGGTACAAACAAGTGGCAACATGTGTGACGGAGGTGTTGTGCTGGGCCATATCATGCAATCGAAAAAATATCATGAAACTTTAGCTCTATCCATTGCGGAGATATTCCCGCGAGAGTGCGGAAAACTTAAATGTATTTATTTATTTCAAATGTGAAATGTTACCAATATACTCGCGGACCACTAGGGGGCGCTCACGACCACCAGTGGTCCAACAAAAGATGACCATTTGCGAGCTATGCCACTGGTATTAGATAATATACTCTTTCTGTCGTGGTACAGTCTAATGTATATATTTTTTTTTAGCCAACATTATATGGTTACAAAATAACAACATGGTTAGCATTAAAAAATACAAGTTAACGTGATTGCGAACCTTGGCTATCTCTGAATTGACAAATCTCGTGATAATCTGTCGCTGAGTCTAACACAAACTACATTTTTCTTGTGGTTTGTCCATCTGAATAATTACATCACATGTTATATAGCTGACACTTTAATCCAAAGTAACCTTCATTCAATCGGTCAAGATATTCTGTGTGACTCCTAGCTAACTCAGCTCATCCATTGTCATTAGCCAATAATCTTATGTTGCCCATGATGAGACGGGGGAGACATGACTTATATTTCATTTTCTACATAAATCGAAACCAACCTCCCCTCCATCTCTTCGGTTTATACCTGCATACTGATATATGCTATGTGTAATATTCAATTTGGCACAATGGGGCAGCATAATCAGTACAAATCTTTGCTTAAGTTCACTTCTCCCATTGGAGTAAATAGATTCCCTTAATGTGCTTAGTGTTGGTATAACTCACAGATACAGGGAAAAAACCTCTTAGTGTACCATCACCTTTCTCAACCCTCTAAAATAAGAACACTCGAACAGTAGATGTTCTAACTTCAGTGAGCTGCACTAATCAGCATATTGATTTGACTGATACTCTCAATAGAACCCATTATATATTCACTAGCCCTGAATGGAGGTTGTTATCCGAGTTATGAATCACCCTTGAGTCTGCCGTGCCACCCTGAAGTGATTTCATTTTATTCAGCTGCGATGCAACTGACGCAGGTGTTTCTGGATGTTGCAGGACCCCCTGGTGCCCCGGAGAGCCTGGTGGTGACGGACATCACTGACACCACTGTGCAGCTGTCCTGGGGCTCGGGACCTGACAACCACAGTCCTGTCACCAGGTACATGGTGCAGGCCAGGACCCCCTTCTCCATAGGCTGGCAGACTGTGAGAACAGGTAACAGCTAATTATTTTTAACTTGATACATAAGAGAAATACTTACTGCTTGGTTAATAGACAAACACAAATGATCACAGTGTTAAAGTGGCCCACTTTAGGCTCTGTATTTCATCATATTGCATTTAGAGTTAGAGTTAGGGTTATGGAGATACTGATATTGGGGTTAGGGGTTTAAAAGAATAGTAACAAAATATCCAATAATATTAATTTACCAGCTGTTATTAATTGTGTACGCAGACTCATAACTTATATTAAGTCTTCCCTGACCAGTAAATGCAAATGCCTCAAGACTCCAAAACCCATCTATGTAACACACACTTTCTGTTTAAAATCTCAGATTTCCGATATAATTTTCTCAGAAAGTTGCATTCACCACTAAAGAGGCCAATTAACACTTGTGTTTACAGTTAGAGGAGCAATCTGTGTTACAAGTAAACTGATATTCATGTGTAAACACCTGAAGTGCCCCCTTCTTTTCAAATTTGAACGTTTAAAAAAAATACAATTGACAATGATTTGAGCACATTTGAAAATAAAATTGAAATGTATGTTATGAAGACACTGCAATTCATCAAACAAAAGTCTTTATTTGAGTTTCCCACTTCATATTCTTCTATCAGATATCAATACAGATATACTGTAGCTGTCATCTGTTAAGCTTTTGTTGAAACAGCCACTGTATATGTGCCTGCTATACCAATTACATTTTAAGTTTTTCAAAATAAAAAACCAAAAAGCATAATTCCCAATCACAGCCGTTAATCAACGATGGCTGGAAAGCAAAGAAATAACACAGCAACTGACAGTTAGGTAACCGACTGGATTACATTAAAGACACGATGAACTAATTCAACTAATGCACTCCACTATTCAACCGCATAATAAATCCTACCTTTGTGAAACTAATGATATTCATTTTTCTATTGAGTACCGTATGTCATAGAGGCTTTTCAACTTAGACTGTTGTAAGTGTGATTATGAAAGGTTCGTTAATAACACAGGATACAGGAGATTAACTAAGTATTAGAACAAAATGTATCGGTATTCTCTGGCGATAATGGAATAGGAAGTATTGCCTTTATAATCATTTATTTCCTTTGGTTTCCTGTCATTTGTTCTATTGCGAATGCTCCATATTTACCAGACTACAAATGAAAGTAAAATGACCACGCTTCTTGTAATAGAGTGGTGCAGTAATGAGTCCTAAAACGCGGAAAAGACTTTTACCACTTCAGCTTCCCTCGTCTCGAAGTCAAAGGTTTTTTAACATGATTTTGGTGAAATATGTGTGGTTAACAAGACCTCCTGAAAACATTTGGCCGTTTTGTTCTACGACATAAAATACATAACTCCACTTGTGAATGTCCGAAGTTGAGTCAGAAGTGTAATCTAAACCATGGTTGCTAACAAGTGGCTGAGCGAGACTACTTAATCACGCTGACACAAATCTGCCATGAATCTAGTTGTTGTGACGCGCAGCCATGCGACTTTGATGTAGTTTGTTTAGAGCCTAACGTTAGCTTTTTAGATCTGCCGATTGCATTTACGCTTTAGAACACAACATTTGGTAATATGTGAAGATTATCCTGCTGAACAAAACGTGGTAAGTATAAAAAAAAGTGTGTTGGCTACTAAACTTATATTAAATATATCGAAATCCAATGAGGAAACCCAATTGCTTTTTGTTGAGGGAACCCTTGCTATGCTAACTTCAGGTTATGGCATTCACAAATGCATCATCGCTGCACCACTCTATTGGAATATATAATCAAATGTATCCATTTCATTTGTGATGTACTTTAGTTTGGTGAAATGTTTTCTATTTGCTGGAAACAAAATGTGAAATGTGCCTCAGTAAAACACATCTAAACTCTAAATTCTTTAATCCTAGTTCCTGATTCTGTGCCTGGACAGATGATGCGTGCAACAGTGAGAGATTTGAACCCCTGGGTGGATTATGAATTCAGGGTGGTTGCAATCAACAGTGTTGGTGTTGGAGAACCCAGCACGCCTTCAAAACAGACCCGAACCAAAGCAGCAGGTACCCTCTCAGCTTGTTGTCCCTATTTATAACAATCAGTCCCCCTTGGAAAACGTGATTCAACCGTTTCCTTTAGTGCTCCATGTGTTGTTCAGTGGCGAACCGTCAGGGCCTTCAAGGTATTCAGAGAATACCCTGGAACACTCAGATAAACAAACAAACAATCGATTTAATTATATAAATAAAATGTAATAAAATGAATAAATGAGAATGGTATCTGTGTTGTTGATCTGTAATATTACAGTGTTGATTTGTTTGTCCTTCTCGGACCATGCACTACGCATTTCAGTGGTTTTGTGAAAGCAACCAATCAGATCTGGTTATCCTTCAACCAAGGTATTCTACATCCTTGATCGAATGCCCTGGCCGTTGCTCTGAATGAGAGCGTACGTTTGGACTCACAGTTTGATCAACCAATCATATATTGATTTGTAGCCAATGGGCGTGTTCTTTCAGAGTTCCCCTCAGTTCCAGGGTGCTCTAGAAGGCCCGCTAGTTAACTGGCTCGAGACAGAGGATCTAGATGAATGCGACGAAGCAATTCATGCCGTTTTATTGTTTTTAACGTTGAAATGACAAGTGCAACAGGTGAACATGAAGTTGTTGCAGAATTATTGTGAGTACCCTTTTCAAGACGACAATTCAGTGAAAAGACGGACATTATAACGCCGGGGAGGGGGGTGTGTGTATCTACAGAAGGTCCAGTTGTGATAGACACGGTTCGCCACTGGTGTTGTTCAACTGTGTTGTTCGTTTTCATGAAATTGCAGCCCACTTTTTAATCTCAACACAACTTTGTGTTTGTCTGCCAATACGCTTAATGAATCGACAGAAATGTGTGACCGTGAGGCATCCACATGAAAGCGTCTATTCTCGAGCTGGTTAGCTGAGTAATTATATCCCGCTGGTTGAATCACAAGGGAACAAGTTTCCTGCCGTGCCTCACACATGGCGCTGATATACGACACTCGGCTAATAGCGTCACCTTACATGGGCGGTAATGCAACTGTCAATAACAACCCAATTCCTCCGCCGTGGGATAAACGTGTTTTTCTTGTAAACAAGAACTGTTATTCAAAGCTCTGCAGCACCTGCCTGAGACTTAACAACCCAAACGAGGAGATGATTATGTTTGGTTTTTTTGCTTAGTTCCCAAGGTTGCACCAGTTAGTGTGAGTGGTGGCGGAGGAGCTCGAGGAGAACTTGTCATCATGTGGGAGGTAAGAGGATTATTAACATTTCTGAGTGGGCATTCATTGTGACGGAGCATTCTTTAAATCTTTAGAGGAGAAAAGACTTTTGGCAGAGTCACTGTGTTCCTGCATTGGCCTGGCTTCAGTGGAATGGCTTTTAATTAAAGGCAGAGCTTTTCTGATTTGCTGCCTGCCTGCTGACTCCCCCCTGTTGTGTAAATCAGAATAAGGATACAGAGCTAGTGCAAATTTCATACGAGTAAATCCAGAATGAGGTGACAACTTTGCAATTTTTTGGATGTGTTTCTAAGAGTAGAAAGTTGCTGGGTAGGTGCATTTTCTCCATAGTTTGTTAGACATAAAACACTATTCTTTAACTTTCTTTTACAACTCCCCTAATTCAATTTCTGCTCACAGTTGTGTGGGTCAAAGGCGTAACTTTCCTGTCTTCTCTCAGCCGGTTTCAGAGGAACAGCAGAGCGGAGAGGACTTTGGCTACGTTGTGGCTTTCCGCCCACTTGGCAGCAGCACCTGGATCCAGACAGTGCTGGTGTCGCCTGATGCATCGAGATATATATACAGAAACGAAAGCATCGCTCCTCTGTCCCAGTTTGAAGTGAAAGTGGGAATCTACAACAGCATGGGAGAGGGGCCGTTCAGCCGCATCCTGACCGTTTTATCCGCAGAGGAAGGTGAGAGAATGAACCTGCACATGCTGCAAACAGAAGTTGATCACAGTGACTGCACTCTTAATTGCATGCATGCATAATTCATGTTTTTAGAGCCCTCCGAGGCGCCATCCAGAGTATGGGCCCGTGCTGTGTCAGCGTCTGAGATCGAGGTGTACTGGCAGCCTATTGCCCCCGGGTCCAGCAGCGAGAAGATCATTGCATATGAGGTATGTAAAATAAAAGTTGAAACAATAGTGCCATAAGGAAAACTCCAACAAGAGTAGACAATAATCCCAGAATGACTGACAGTACAATAAGCCGGCGTTCATTAGAATAGAACCGCCGGTGGCGACAACGTGGAAATGTTCTGACATTGAAATACTGCACGTGGTGAAGCGGCAGTGAGCTAATTTAGGGGATGAAGAAGTCTGTTTGCAGCCGTTCCAGTCTCCAAAACACCTCGATACCAAGAGCTGCCTGAGAGCTCTATTCAGAAAAATAAATAAATAAAAGAAAGTGTGAACATCATACATCACTATCCTGTACAACCAACACTAGGGATTTGGCTGTGGAAAACCTAGATAAAAATAACATTCTCTGCTAAAACCCTAGATACTTTCCAAGGTAGGGTATACCCAGGTGGCTCGAACTATGCTGAGAAGCTTTGAGGTCATTGCAAGTGTTTGCTACATATTGTTATAACGCACGACAATGCCAGTTTTTTGGCGCTAGACGGAGCAGTTTAGTTGAGGTGAGGTGAGGCAAATGTTCGCATGAATATTCATGATGAAAAATGAAAACACTATTGAACACAGTTCTTGCAACTGGGTGAACCAGATTCATGCGACATAATGAAAGGCTTGTCTTGTGGGTAGATATTAATTCTAATTTCCATAATAACAAACTTCTCTAAAAAAAGTCCATTGGGTTTTTTCTTTTTGACACATTTTGATGTATCTAATTAAAGCATACGTTGCCTCACGAATAATGTTTCAGTGATCATTAAACAGTGCCACCTGGTGCATTGTTTTTAGCAATTAAGTTGCCAATTTTAGTCAAGTTATCAAGTAATATATTCTGAATGAACATATGCGGAGTCAATTTGTTGAAAGTGACTCATTTAATGTTAAGTTAAGGTATTTAGTTTCAGAAATGTTCCAACATTGAGTGTTTATACAAAGAGTTTGGCATTGAATCACACGTAAAAACACAAGTTTTCCTAACTGAACAACCAAAACTTGATTTGACTAAACAACAAAGTTTACTTTTCATTGATACCCAGAAGACCTCCTCCAATATGACGTCCCCATAGCATTCTTCATAAGGTTTTGAGGAAAACGTATTCGCTTTACAGAGAATTCTACAGGTTACAGATACAGTTTTGAACACATGGTTGACGAGTCGAATTGGTTTTGGTCAACAAAAGTACTTGGATAGGTAAAAATAGTGCAGTTATTACGTTATTAAAGTCACGGTTGTATATTGTCAATTGACTTGGTTTCATTAGGGACATGAACAGTAGTTTCCGTTTGAAAGGTTGGGAAAGAAGGAGGAAATTAGTTTAGCCCCAACACTGCTCTGGATTGTTACCTCAGACAGGCTCCATGTGTTTTTCCAGATATGTCTCATGTAGGGCTTCATTTATTTAAATGCTAGAGTGAGAACTTGGCCAATACAGTTGCAATTAGACTGAGGGCTAATATGTGGTGATACAAAGAAGAAAATCTCAAGGTGTGGAGTGTATAAGTAAACAATTTGCCAATGATTTTCTCCCTGCAGTTGCCTAGATGTAAGGGAATGGTTTAAAGGGGGCACTGACATTTATACTAGGGGTGTTGAAAATAATCGTTTCTACGATGCATTGCGATGCGGACGTGGACGATTCGGTATCGATGCAGTGACGGAAGATAATCGGTTATAGCGTAGTAACGTTGCTTCACTATAACGTTTTTTTTTTCTGTCACTTTAATATCAAATCGGTCGGTGACGCAGAAATCAGGGAACAGACGTGACAGCGGCACAGCAACACCAAACACGGAGCAGTCTGCTTTATCCACCAACACAACACCACCAGTCCAGAACCAACAGCAGAAGGACCCGCTCTGAATCACTCCGTGTCGCTGCGGCACAGGGATTTATGTTTTTCAAAAATAATCGCGTTACAATCATGTCAGGTTTTTGGTGGATTTAATTAAGTCTTGGATTGCAGAGTATGAATGTCCTCTAGCAATTTTCAGACGATATATACGTGTGTAAAGTTTGTGAAGGCAGGAGGAAAAAAGCTTCCGCGATCACCGTCTCCTCTGTTCCTCTAAGCCCCGCCCCCTCCCTGAAAATAATGAGTGACAGGCTGATAGTGACCCGATAGAAACTTTATTATTCACTTAATCACTGAGATATAATGAAGCTAATTTAATCTCATACATTCATGGGATTTATGTAACAGTAAGACAGAGAATGTAAGTGTGCACCCACATGCAGTATTTTAGTTGTTATATGCTGTTGCAAATACTCCTGTTGTCTGCTGTGTTCAGACTCAAGTCCTGTGTGTGATGCCACATTCAGGACATTCAGTGTCCTTTCTTTAACAGAAGACCGTTGCTAGAAGCTGCAGCTAGACTGCAGAAGCATTATTTTTTTGTTTTTGAGGATGGAACAACTTCACACACAGATATAGGGAGGCTAGACCTATACAATTCATTTATTTTGGTTTATAAATTAATGTCAAGACATTTATGTTATTGATTTCTGAAGCACTTTCTAAATAATAAAAAGAGAGTTCATATGTATTTACTGCATGTATGCATTGATGAAAAATAAGCCATGTGCAGTAATATAGAAAATTGAGGATGCAACGCATTGGTTTGAATCGTGATGCATCGGGATGCATCGGGATATCGAATTGAATCGAATCGTTGACAGGATAATCGTAATCGAATCGTGAGGCCAGTGAAGATGCACAGCCCTAATTTATACACACAATAACTGATGGCCACATTGTTAAAAGTGACTTGTCATCACGTTTTAAGCTGCTGTTATTCTCCCATCCAACAGATACAGTACATAAAACCATAAGCATAACCCCCTCGCTGTGCTGGGCTATTGGAAAGAGTATATGTAGACTGCAGTGACTTTATTGTTATATCTTCATACTGCTAACAAAGGGGTCAGTGGTGTTGTTCATGAAGGTTATTCTATAGAAAGATACATTGAAGAGACTCCTTTGGACAAGCTATCCCTGACATAAATGTGTTTAAGTAAGTTGGTGTACCAACGACTTGATTGGATTAGTTCAAGTGGCTCGTCAATAAAAACGGCAAAAGACTTGCATTTAAAACGTGTAAGTAAAATGGTGGCTTGTTGGCTAGCACATGAAAAGAATACTTGCTGTTCCTGAGTTTCAAATAAATAGTTGAAATAAAAACTGTATTATCTATGGTCCCCTGAAAGAAATCTTGAAATAACTTCCTTCTGTAGTTCTACCTGAATGTCCCAGACGAGGATGTCCAGAACCTCCTGAGAGAGTGAGACGGTGAAACTGGAGCGCACAGCTCGTTCATAATGTCCTGTCTGTATGGTCTGCCAGAACACAGTACTTCGCCAAAAATATATTTCATCAGAGAGCTGTAGTTTTGGAAACCAAGATGTGATTTCTTTTTAGAACCACGTAGAAGGGATTTATTTATTGAGAATGATATAGCAAACACTACTGATTCCTCGGCTTTACGGTGTTAATCATCGTCTCTGCCATGTATGCTAACCCTGATCTCAACATCAAATATGTTTTATTGTGTTTGTGCGTTTTATCAAAATGTTTGGTCCTTGTCAGAACAAAAGCTTTGTTAGTCATATATTTCTATAAAACCTGTATGCATTTATTTCTAACAAAGAAAGAATCGGGTAAATAAAAAGAATAAGAACTGCAGTCTGAGCTGATAAAATCCTCTCCTGTGGAGCCGAGCGCCTGGAGAATACTCCGGTCCCAGCAGGATAGATCAGCCTCAAAGGGCTCTCCATGCGTAGTGGCAAACAAATAATATTTAAGCATTGCCTTTTGATATTAGAGAAGAGTCATTAAACACTCTACCTGACGTGTTATAAAATGACAAATGCACATTCATGTCAAACCTGACTATTGCTGAAGACAAGTATACGGAGTGGCATGTAAAGCATTTCCTCAGTGGCATTGTCGTCACATACAGTTTTGATTGGAACAACTGTTTGAAAGTTATGAGAGATGCATCTCCACTGCATGAGAGGATGATGACTCAACACCACACCCTACAATTTACGTTCCACTTCACCCAACCTTTTGGTTCTTGTTCTGTATATATGAATAGAGATAGCAGGAGCGCTTAGAGCAGGGGTTCCCAACCTTCATTGTGCCAAGGACCGGCAGATACATGAAAAAAAAATCGCGGACCGGTTGTCAATTTGAACTGATTTTAATATTTACTCACCACCAGCAGGTAGCAACAGAGGCTAATTGTATGTAACAGCCTGAACAAATACTAGAACATTATGCATCCAAAACATATTAACAACGTTTAAAAAATAACCGGTGTCGTTTTTTGGTTTTTCGGGAAAAGCGGAAAACCAAAAAAACGACGTTATTCAGTTTTTAAACCAGAGGTGTGTGTGTGTGTGTGTGTGTGTGTGTGTGTGTGTGTGTGTGTGTGTGTGTGTGTGTGTGTGTGTGTGTGTGTGTGTGTGTGTGTGTGTGTGTGTGTGTGTGTGTGTGTGTGTGTGTGTGTGTGTGTGTGTGTGTGTGTGTGTGTGTGTGTGTGTGTGTGTGTGTGTGTGTGTGTGTGTGTGTGTGTGTGTGTGTGTGTGTGTGTGTGGTGTGTGTGTGTGTGTGTGTGTGTGTGTGTGTGTGTGTGTGTGTGTGTGTGTGTGTGTGTGTGTGTGTGTGTGTGTGTGTGTGTGTGTGTGTTTTCAGAAGATATTATGATAGTGACGTTCGTTCCGGTGCACTCAGATAGCATTTTCTCACTACATCGGGATTAAGATTAAACTAATTTATTTTGGGAACACCCGCATATAGGTTACCTATGGAGTTAGCCAGATGTGTGTCAATTGCTGTTCATGGTCATTTGAAAACAAATGCCGGTGCACACACACACACATCATGCGCCTTGGTGACTGGACATCTCCTTCATAAAACTAATAAAAGGGGGAGAAATCGGGCAGTTTGATGTGTGTAGAGATGTGTGTGGTTAACACGTAGCAGCCTGCAGTCACTCGCTGTTCTGATGAAGGTAAACACAGTGAAGGCGGTGCGTAAAAAGGCACAGCTCTCGGCGCGCTGGTGCTACACTTCTCAGAGGCGGAGTATACGTCCCGCTGCCTCCTGATCCTGCAGCCATTTCATGAAGTGAAGGAGGCTTTCCTTCTATAAACAGCTGCGGGCAGCAGATACCGTGAGAGTCCCGGACATGAATTCATAGATCAAGGCAGACTGGTTTACTCTCCTGTTTTGCCAATCCGGTGCTTAAACAAATAACTCCCCTGGCCGACATGTCCTTAAAAGGAAGTCCGAGTTTGAAATATATCTCAAATAATGTATGCACTGCCATTTCCCCACATAAACATAACAGTCTGCAATTAAACGCTCCTCTTCCTGCTTGGCGCACCAGTAACTTTCTCGTGCGCACAAGAGGCCTTTGGCTGAGCCGCCGAATCCCTCGGAACATCATAAAAGCCATTTTCAACGTTTTTCTGGTGAAAGATTAACTAGGCTACTGGATGAAATAATATGACTGGTATAGGTGCGAAAAATATTATGATAAAATATTTTTATATATTTATAATTCTGCAAATATTACGATAAACTCACAGCTATTCCGCGGCCCGGCAGTAACACCGGGCCGCGGACCGGGGGTTGGGAACCCCTGGCTTAGAGTACCCCTTCACTGACTGAACGCTTTGAACCTAATTACAGCTCCAACAGACTGAGAAAGTATAAAATACTCCAGGAAACTCAACATCTCAACACTTTGAAGCACACACGATTGAGGCTTTTTGCATCTAGAACTAAACACCACTACAAAAGTCGTGAACATGGTAGGATTCACTTTTGAGAGGGCAGTGTTTTGCCCTTTTGCCTCACTTTAACTTGGAGAATGCATTATGAGAGCGTCGGGATCCTGATCACCATTTCGGTCTTTTTTTTCATTAATGACCGCCTTGCCGCACATTATCCCGCCTCTTGTCTGGCAACTTACTAAATAAACTATTGACCTGATTTTGAATACTAATTTACGGAAGAGGATTAGGGCCACATTTTTTTTTTGGGAGGATTTGAAAAAAAAAACGTTTTTCAGAATTATGATTTTTTCCTCAGAACAAAAAAACATAATTGTTGTATTGATTTAAAAATCATCATATTGCTTCCACTAAGAAAAAAAAATAGTCCAAGTTCCAAGTTGGTACGATAGCAACGTAACCAGAAGTGACGGCAGCACTGATCTGGGTTTTCTGTAACTGTCCAAGTCTTTTCACATTTTCATTTTCACCAGACTTTAAACACTGACAGAGCCCATACTGTTTTCCTGTTATTGTTGACTTCCTGTCTTCTTCTGTAGATTTCTCTGACGTCCATCGCTCTGTCTTTTAGCCTCTTTCCTTCAATTGCGCTCTTTTTCTTTTCTTTACGGGGAGAGATTAGCCATCACGAATCCAACGTTTCGTGCTCCCCACAAAAAATATTCCATGGTGTTTCTGACGGAGAAGACAAATATTTGTTGTCCACATCTGACATTGACTGGACTTCTTCCTGTGGATTGATATGATTGCACATAGTCCCTTGATCCTCCTTCACAACGGTCTGTAGTCGGTCAAAACCTCTGGAATGTCCAAATTGAACAATAAGAATTAAGTATTTGACTAAGTTGTGTAATAATTGGACTGTAGAGTAACTCTTACTACTTTTAAATCCAGGCTGAAGACTTTTCTTTTTGCCGCTGCTTATAATTGAAACTCAGCGGTTGTGTTTCGGTTTTGGTTGATGAACATTTGGGGCTAGTAACCCCAGGGAATCAGAGTCTGGGGACTTTGTCCTGGCTGATTTCTCTGTGTATGCTGCTCGGGACGTATGTGCCATACAAGCGTACACAGCTCATGTTCGGAGAAACCTTAAAGAAAGGCATCAGTAAAGTGGAACTTCTGTGTGAACTATTCATATCTTAAACTGCACTGTAACTTTTTATTCATGTACTTTTTATTAATGTATTTTTTCTTTTAATGTTTCTTTTATTATCTTTTCTTTTTAATGACTGTTTTTAAATGCCTTTGTCTGAATGTCTTTCATTTTTGTAAAGCACCTTGAATTGCCTTGTGTTGAAAGGTGCTATACAAATAAACTTGCCTTGTCTTGCCTAAACAATATTTATCAAACTAAAAAAAACGACCTATTATTTTTCGCAGATAAACTCAAAAGGTCATGTTTGAGTTGTTCTCCTCCTATTTGGAGATTTCAAGCAAATTGAAAGAGCTAATTAGAAAAGTTTGTCTTTTATTCGGCGTGTTTGAAGGATGACATTTTCAACCAAGCTGATGTGTACATTTCTATAGATAGATAGATGATTGATTAAACAATGTATTTTGTTTGCATTGACAGACATGTTAATGCTACACTTTCACACTGCATCTATGCAAAAATAACAATCTAATTATTCCCGTAATGAAAATTGGCTTTCATTTATTTCTGTTACGATCTGGTGCTATATAATTTGAAATGTACTTGATTTTCACACTCTTGATAACGCCCCTTGGAGAGGTACCAGACTAATTGGATGACATTGGTCATGCATTGTCATTTATTTTCATAAAGGACAACACACATTTATCACTATTTCTGTAAATATGCCAATGTTAGGTAGCTGGCTAATTTCCACCTGCCAGGCTAAAAGGATCCCTGGTAAGTTGCCCACCAGCATTGTCTCTGTTCGAAAATGTAACAGTAATGGTTTTAATGTTACTGCACAGCCCTGCATGACTTCCTACATGTCACTAAGCCCTGAAACCTCAGTTATGTCCAACTTTCCACATTACTACTCCAAATGGCTGGTGCTTTTTACACCAAGGGTCATCGTTTTTATCTGTAAAAGAAAAGTAGACTGATTCTAACCCAACAAACCACTTTGGGCTAAAATGAAAAGAGATGTATTACATTTTGACTTATCCAACTTACTCTTTAAAAGTGTGTGATGTTATACACAAGTCAGTAACCTTCCCTATATCAATGGATGTCACAGAGCAGGGCGAGTCGCTTACATGACTCTAAACCACAAAATGTAGTTATTTAACAAATGAGGTGCTTATTATAGGTGTTAAAAGTACCACTAGGTTTCTACTGTGATGTATTTGTTGGCCAGGTATGCCAATTTCTAACAGCTTTCATACACCAGACTACTTTCTGGAAGACATTCCCAAATTATTAGGCGGATTTTTATGCATGTTCTTTGTTAGCTTCAGCTGCTATTGATAATTTGGGGTTCAGTTGGGAGCAATCTTTACACGTAACTTCCTCTCAGATATTTTCTACTATGCAGAGAAATATAATAAGAGGCCATCAACTGAAAACATTGGAAGTTTACACTTGACACTGTACTGTTGGCAAAGTCACCCAATCTCTAAATTATCTCCACTGGATTGTGTATATAAATTCAAGCTTGGTATAAGAACATACCAATGAAATATCTCTACTATACACACAAACATTGGTATTGTTGAAACACTGGAGGTACCGTATGATGCACTTTCCTGCCACAGTCTCTATAAGACTTTAAGATGCAGCTAAGTCTCCTTAGATCCTTCTCTTTCATCCTTCTATCGGTGTTTTTAGATTCGTAGCAAAGTTGACTAAACTCCTTCTGCTCAGGTATTCTCCCAAGCGATGGTGTAACTGCTTTAATTAAACTGCTGGCTTTAGAAAAAATCCCCTAGATGCATCTGTTATCAGCAACTCCAGGCCCTGTCGCTAATCTGCTTTCCCGAGCAAGATCGCTGAAAATCTGTGTGCAGCCAATTGAATAAGTACCTACTCTCCGACCATCTGTTTGACATTTTCCTGTCTGGGTTCCCTGTCTCGTGTCAGGGTCATAAATAATTTCCCTATGAATACAGATTCTGAAAGGCCTCCTTATCATGTCTTGCTCCCAGTGCATGCTTTTGGTATTGTTAGATACAGTATCATTCAAAATGCAGGTTTGACTGCCTCAGGAATTACAGTAGAGGAACTGATAGTATGGAAGTGTTTTGGTCCTTGAAACACTGGCTAAGCATATTAAAAGACTTAACTGAGACAACCTCAGAAGTCTTTGGTTTGAATACATTAGTCTTGTATAAGCTTTGCAGAGAATGTCTTCTTGTCATATTCCTTAAGACAGTTTCTGACAGCCTAATCTCGCCATTATGAACAATGTCTGCTTCTATATGTAACAGTCATTTGGTAGCGGTAGTTTCCCATTTGTAGTCAGAGCAGTAATGACCAATCACATTCAGAAGGAACACATTGTATAAAAAACACTCTTGAAATCAATGTTATATCGCCAGACAATGATTTCACGCCCAAAGAATTGCTTGTAAAATGGCTGCTTGTGAAACAATCCAATTGTAGACGTCGTATCGCAACTCTATTCTGATTTGACTGAAAAAAAATTGGCCGAATCTTGGCCTGAGTGTACACCAGAACCCCAACAATATTGCCCCTAAAACATATCATTGACAGCCAATAGATTACGAGATTTGTGACAACCTATATGCACTCTATAAATAATACTCTATTCTACAATATTCTCATTATAAGCACATAGTGTGTCTCTTAATAGGACATTGGCTAAATAAATAAGGTTTGATTTGACACAGATGCAACCATTTTGTACCGGCTTGTGTTTTATAAATGGAAAATGGAGATACTGAAGGTCCGTTGGTAACCTTTCTATCTTTGGTCAAGGTTCTCTTCTGGGAGGAAGGGTCTGAGCAGAGTGAAGCGGAGGCAGCGAGGGTTATCGACACCAAGGCTCTGCTCTCCGGCTTGAAGGGCAGCTCAGCCTATCAGATCGCAGTCAGAGCCCAGAACAGCGCCGGCCTCGGACCCTGCAGCCGCGCTCTCAACATCACCACCAAGAAACCACGTGAGGCCAACCACAAAAGCTTTATTTCTTCT